AGACAAAAAGTCCACACGGTACAATATATCGAGTACAGTGTTGAGGAATGTATCTAATTACAAAGATCTTGGAGTTATTATGACTAGTGATCTGAAATGGTCAAAACATGTTGAACAAATAGTTCACAAAGCAAATAAGGTTCTTGGCTTACTTAAACGCACAGTAGGCGGTAAAAACAAAGATATTTTTTCAAACTTGTACAAAACCTTGGTTCGTCCAATCTTGGAATACGCCTGCCCGGTGTGGTCACCACACCTCATCAAAGACATCGATGAAATTGAGAAGATACAAAGAAGAGCCTCGCGAATTGCTTTAGGCCAAAGAAGACAAGAGATGGCGTATACGGAGAGGTGTAAAATTCTTAAATGGAACTCTTTAGTACAAAGGAGAGATTTCCTTTCCTTAGTGGAATGTTATAAAACTGTATTCAATCTAAATGGATTGAATTTCAGCGACTATTTTGAACTTTGTAAAAACACTAAGTCGAGATCTAACCACCCATATAAACTACAACTCAAACTCGCAAAACTGAACTGCTACAAAAATTCTTTCTTTGTCAGAATTATCAAACCCTGGAATAATCTTCCTATTAATGTATTTAATTTTTGTGACAGCCCTAACGTTTGTGAGTTTAAATCAAAATTGAAGAAACATATGAATATTTATTGAATCGCCATTTTATAATTGATATTTAGCTGTTTCTTATTTGACTTTTTTATATTTTTATTAACTAGTTCTGTAAGATTTTTTACATAAATAGGAGACCCTTGATATAGGGCCAACCTCTGGGTTTCCTTTTTCTTAATAACTATGTATTTGCATGTTGTTCTGAAATAAAGTATTGTATTTTCATTCGATAAAAATATATTTTTACTCGATGAAATATTTTTATGCGATAAAATATATATTTCCATTCCATAAAATATATTTTCATTTCATAAAAAAAATTTTTTCATTCGATAAGAAAATAATTTTCATTTGATATGGTTTCATTCGAAAAAACTTGGGTCCATTCAATGGAATATTTTGCTCTGGTAAAAATATTTTCATTTAATAAAAAATATATTTTCATTCGATAAAAAACATATTTTCATTCGATGGAAAAGATATTTTCATTCGATAAAAAAGATATTTTTATCGATAAAAAAGATATTTTCATTCGATAACGTCACGTGGTATTGTTAGGCTTGGTCGCGTGGGACCAATGTTCGCGCCAAAAGAGCTTCGCCTGTCCGGTCTGTTTTGCTGTTGCAGCTTTTTTGCAACAGCAAAACAGACCGGACAGGCGAAGCTCTTTTGGCGCGAACTTCGGTCCCACGCGACCAGGCCTAACCGTGATACCACGTGACATTATCGAATGAAAATATCTTGTTTAACGAATGAAAATATCTTTTTTATCGAATGAAAATATGTTTTTTATCGAATGAAAATATCTTTTTTATCGAATGAAAATATTTTTATCAGAGAAAAATATCCATTGAATGGACACGTTTTTTTGAATGAAACCATATCAAATGAAAATTATTTAACTTTTTTATCGAATGAAAATATATTTTATCGAATGGAAATATTTTATCGCATAAAAATATTTCATCGAGTAAATATATATTTTTGTCGAATGAAAATACTTTTATCGAATGCAAATATATTTTTATTGAATAAAAATAATTTTTATCGAATTTTGCTCCTTTTTGGCAACCATACAAGTGCACCACAAGTGGACATTAGGGAAACCCAAATCTATCCCTCAAATTCTGTTGTTAAGCGAAAATACAGCTTCCCTAACTTGTGCGTCCAAGGTTTAACAGCTCAAATGAGCAAATTTGAAATAACATCAACGACTTTTTTTTAAAGTCAATGCATTTTGGAAATGTTAATACCACTGTGAAAAAAATCTTACACAACAACATGTTTGATCAATTTAGTTGAATATAAGTATCTATCTATCTGGCTCTCTGGAAAATTTAAAACAGTAAAAACAATAATTTCGAAACAAACCACAAAGTTAAAGCTATACGCTTTTGAGTTCAAAAGCATTTGCGATCAGTTTCGAAAATAAAGATGGTCCTTGTGAAGTCAAAAGCTTTGAGTTTTAATGACATGAAAATTTTCCAAAATTTTTTTAAAAAATTTAGACATCCAAAGCAGTCATTCCATTTTGGCCACCCACTTGGAAATAAAACCGGCTTCAAACAACAACAAACATATGAAACATATGTGTGAACTGCGGTTATGAGACGTATATGAGCACGATCCTTCGCAGTAAAGCACTATTTGAGCAATAGTGAAAATCAGACCTGAAAAAAATTTCAGGCCTGTACGGGATTCGAACCACTGACCTCTGCGATACTAGTGCAGCGCTCTACCAATTGAGCTAACAAGCCAACTGGGAGCAGGCCATCAAATTAATTCGACATAAACCCGTAGATGATAAATCAAACAACAACAAACATATGTTTCATATGTTTGTTGTTGTTTGATTTATCATCTACGGGTTTATATCGAATTAATTTGATGGCCTGCTCCCAGTTGGCTTGTTAGCTCAATTGGTAGAGCGCTGCACTAGTATCGCAGAGGTCAGTGGTTCGAATCCCGTACAGGCCTGAAATTTTTTTCAGGTCTGATTTTCACTATTGCTCAAATAGTGCTTTACTGCGAAGGATCGTGCTCATATACGTCCATAAAACCGGCTTCCTTAAACTATAGTGGCAAAGCGTTCAAACATTCAGGCCATTAGACAGTAAGGAAGTCAGTTCACCATCTACACTGTTAAATCTTCAAGGTTTGCATATAAATGTTTATCATACATTTCCATGTTGATCAGTCTCTGCAGAAAAAAAAATGTCAATAGCATGACTTAACTGAATGTGTTCCCTTCACGCTATGAGCAGTTTTCAAAATAACTGGTCTACTTTTCCAACCTAATCAAACACACGAAGGTAACACAGTGTATCATAGTTTTAGCATTCTAGAAGCTTAAAAGTCATCCTAACCTCTTTTATCCAACTAAAATATAGAATTCTGGTGAAAACAATTTTATCGACTGACAAAAAGATATATCCCTTTACAGAATGTTGAACTGTAATCTGTTTGGGATGTCACTGCTATAACGGAGGACAGGCGGGCAGAGATTATGCAAATTAACAGAGAAGAATTAATTGTAGAGAAGGTTGTGGGTAATCAGCGCGGTAAATACACCAATCATGGCATATCGTTTGCTTCACAATGTTGTCATGTCGCAGGTGGATCACCAATCGATGACACCAAATCTTCTTCTCTAGGTTCCATGATTGTAACTGTGCTGATATAGGAAGTGGGCTGAGTTGGCCACCGTGAAATACGAGTAATCCATTAAAGAAGACAAGACTTTTGCTCAAAATGCATCTTATTTGCAAAGGCGTTCACGCATGGTATGATAGCTCTTGTAGATACCTGGGCCTCGTCGATCAGCGGCAACCGCAGCGGAACAGAAACCCGGGAGGCCCAGATGCCGAAAATAAGGAAAAACAATAACTAGAGAGCCGCGAGAAAACGTACTACTGATGGAACACAGACTCTTGAGGTGACGCGGATCCAGGTGACCTCAGCGTCTGAGAAATACTCGCAGTATGCATCGTAACTTTGCGATCCACATCACATCGTGAGACACACGAGAATACTTCATTACTGAACGAGTATATAATATCACCTGGGTAAATTAGTATTCAGTTTAAGAGCTTAGTTGAGAACTCTCTTGCTGTCTCCTACAAAAACGAAAAGTGAAAAGTTGTCATCGCACAAGTCTCACCTTGTATAAGGTTTCCATGTCTTTCAGTTGGTTTTTCAAGCTAGTGAAAGTCGGTCTAGCGTCGGGGTCATTTTGCCAGCATCTCATCATGATCTGGTACCTGGTAGTTACAAAATCATCCGAAGCTCCAATTAAATGTGTTTTATTACAAATTATGATTAGATTCCTTTGCAGGAAAAAAACAACTTTCTAAAATTTGCCTCGCTCCCAACGTGTGGCTTCGCAGCTTAGTTGGGAGAAACGGCCAAATAGTATCCGGGACGCACGGGTTCTATTCCCGTCGAAGACTGAATTTTTCAGGCTTTGTTTTCTAAAATTACTTCACTTAGAGTCAACCTGCGAGAATGATTTATTCATTTGATTATATTTATACAATGGAATGCTTAGATCAATTGTTATTGGGAAAAATGAGTACTAAACTATATGCGAGAGATGCAACTGACAACTGGCATCTGAAAAAGTGACGTTAAAAACTTACAATTTATCATCCACGTGTTGCGGTTTAGGCATTCTGTATCCCTGCTGGAGCAAGTTGGCAATCTTTCTCCCATCCGTCTGTGGATACGGAGAACCGCCTGAAAAATAATCATAAATACATCAAAATGTGAATACATACAAACTTCGACAAAATCTTTAGCATAAATGTAGTTTATTGATTAATTTTCAATTTCTCTTCACAAGTTTCATCAAATATTACCTATGGTAAAGATCTCGTAAAGGACAACTCCATAACTCCATCTGCAGAGAGGCAATACAAACAGAAATAAAGGGACTTCATCTATAGGATCAAATGAAGGCATGACAAAACTTGAAAATATTATTATAAAAGGAAAATATATCGTTCAAAAATTTCAATCTAGCTAACTTAGCAAAATACACACAAAAAAAAGAAGATGAGTTATCAGTAAAGGAAATGTTTAATTTATTCTTACACATCACTTTTGGTGGTATATGTGCCATACAACAATGCCTCGTAGGCTGTCCACTTCACTGGAAGACGACCCTCAGGATTAAAAGTCACATTATTAATGGTTTGAAATAAATTGCAAAGATATAGTTAAAGCGAAAATGAGAACATCAACAACAACAACAAACTTTATTCATTAATTCAGAAATTACAATTTCTTGTTAGCTTTCATCCGCATATAGAAAAGCCTAATCGAGGCAGGGGAAGAGACACACAGGTTTATAGAGAGGAAAGACGAAAAATATTTTGCAAACAGTACCAGCTGTCGCAAAATTAAATTATGGTATCAGTTAAAAATACTATTAAGATACAGAAATGACAACGTGTATTACACAGGAAATAAAAGTCAAGTCGTGTTTCAGAGCTATCTAAGTTTTAGTTAATTGATGCATAATTTCGGTGATATCAAGGTAGTCATCAGATTTCAGTAAAACTTCAGAGAGTTTATTCCTTAACTTTTTCCGGATGGTGGATTTTCGCAATTTTCTCATATCTGAGGGTAGAGAATTCCAGATTTTTGGGCCAATTCTTAGGAAGGAACTACGCATTTTCTCAAGCCTTGAGTGTTCGGTATAAAAATTATCATTGTCAGAAGATAGGGTAGAATATGAGTGTACCTCAGAAATTCTAGTAAATGCTCGTTTAATATTTTCAGGAGCATGATTGTTAGCAATGTCCCACATGATATTACAAAGACGATCAAAGTAAATAAAGGAAAGAGGAAAGACATTCGATTTTAAGAAAAGTTGAACAGCATGTTGCTTATAGTCCTTAAAGTAAATCAGGCGTAGAGCTCGTTTTTGAATTAGAAGTAACTTATTTAAATAAGATTTGGGTGCAGAGCCCCAAGCACAGATGCCATTGTAAAGATAGGGACTAATAAGGGCTTGGTAGATATTTAAAAAGGGACGTAATGGAATAGTATGTCTAGGTCTTGCAAGAATTCCCACAGTTCTACTGATCTTTAAACAAATTAGTTCAATATGGCTTTTCCAGGAAGGTTCATAATCAATCAGAACACCAAGATATTTGACAAAATCTTTCTTTTCCAAGGTACATGATGCGTTTTGAGCTAGATCGTAAACTTTGATGAAGGGATTATATGTTAAACATTTCTGCCTAGGACGGAAAAGCACGTAGTTGTTTTTTTTAAAATTAAGGGTTAGCTTATTAGCTAGAAGCCAGTCACCGCTATTCATATTACTCTGAATTGTGTTAACAATATCCAGGATTGCATGCTGTGTATTATGACCACCCCGAAAGCCATATTGGGAGTTAGTTAAAATGTCATATTTGGTTATGAATTTGTTTAGTCTTTGATACATTAACTTTTCAAATATTCTATTGAGAATAGACAACAGAGAAATAGGTCTGTAGTTGCTGGCACAGGACTCATCATCATCTTTATAAACTGGCACAATCTTGGCAAGTTTTAATTTGCTGGGGTGTTTGCCTTGGATGATAGATAAATTGTAAATGTGGCTGGCTAATAATGTGTTTACAGCCTTTTAGAATTTTAACAGGACAAGAGAACATGCCAAAAGACTTGCAAAGAGGCAAGGCCTGAATTTGAGCATTAATATCAGTGGGAATAATGGTTTCAAAACTAAAAGAATTTGGCAAACGATTATTAGATAGATACTAATTGAATGAGTGCTTAGAGGGTGGTAATTGGGAAGCAAGGTTATGTCCAACCCTAGCAAAATGCTTATTAAGCACATTAGAAATTTCAGTAGGGTCAGTTGAGAGACTGCCATTGGATCTTTTGATAATAGAAATTTGTTTAAGTTTCTTCTTAGAGGGTGACATCAGGTTATTAATCCCTTTCCAGGTTTCCTTCATATTATTAGCGTTCAGTCCAAAAAAAGAGTTATGGTAATTCCTTTTACTTGAACGAATTAACAATAATAATTTATTACGATACAATTTATACTCATCCCATTGACCATCATGGTATAACTTGTTCTTCCTACGTATAGAGGTGAGTAAGCCTTTGGTTATCCAAGGCTTTGCCATCAGCTTACATTTACGTTTGGATAGTGTCTTAAAAGGTGTATGCTTATCAACTAGTTCGCTAAGCTCATTGTAAAAGAAATTAAATGCACAGACAGCATCAGAATTTGGGGGCCAGGTAATTAGCTGAAGATCATTGTTAAACTCAGTTTGATTAAAGGATGAAAGATCCCGTTTGCGGATTACTCTGTTAAAATTATCTTTAAGCTTGTTAGATAGTAGGCAAACCTGTGAGTAGTGATCGCTAATGTCAGACACAATGTTGCCACTCAGTACAAACTTGTCCAAGCTATTAATGAAAATATTATCAATTAGGGTAGCAGAGCTACCATAAGATCTTGTGGGTTTATCAATAGTTGGGAGTAGGGATAGACTCTGTAAAGTTTCAAAAGGTTCTTGACTATATCCACAGCTCTCAATTTTAAGGAGATCTGTATTGAAGTCACCAAGGAGAATAATTTCCTTATTCCGGGTGCAAAGAGCTTTAAGTTTGCTTGACAGATAATCTAGGAAATGATCTGGGCGGTTGTGCTGTCTGTAGACCACTCCACAAATGATATTTTTTCCTTTAAAGATGTTTAGTTCACACCATAAGGCTTGAAAAGATACCGTAGATTCCTTTCCTAGAATTCTGTAGGGGATATGCTCACTTGTGTAGAGTCCAAAACCTCTTAAAACCTTTATCATTATCCAAAATATTCGTATGATTTTGTAAAACACCTTTGACATTTAAAAACTTTATTATACGTCGAAGGAAAGTTAACCTAATCATCTCTACAGATTGCTTTCTTCTTGAGTGCCCAGTTACGAAGATGCAAGGATTAAAAACCGTAGATATGCCAATAACACCTCAACAGGGACAGAAGACGATGATTTCACTGAATGTAAGCATGCAACTAAGCATTGCTCGTTTTCAATCTACCTTTGTCTTTCGTTCATAAATATTTTCCAGCTGCACATCTCTGGCCATTCCAAAGTCTTTTACTTTACACGTTTCTTTTTGTCCAACCAACACGTTACGGGCTGCAAGGTCCCGGTGAATGATCTAAGATAGGGATTGAGAAATATAATTGAACCCCTGAGTGTTAAACTGTTATTGTTGTGGTTGTTGTTGTTTTGTACTAGTTTAGAAGGAAACAAAAATGTAATAATGTGATGAGCCTTCTAATCGAGTTGTAGAATTAAGTTTTGTGATTTTTTTTTTGACTCACCGATTTTGAGGACAAGTAACTCATGACATCAGCGATTTGCCATGCAAACTTCATCAGCTGTTGTGACGTCAGATTTGTTTGTGGTTTGTTGTCTGGGTCTTTGTAGTAGGTGTCATTTAATTCACGGCTCTTTCTTAGGTAACCAAGCAGATCACCGAAAGGAACATATTCGATCAGTACCAGGAGTGGCTCTGCAACGAGAAAAATGCCCTCTAAAATTGAAGCAAATCATTACTGACGAGAGACATTAAGTCCCAGAAAAGATGAAGTAAAATAAAAGTACAGGACCACCTACTAAAAGATTAAACTCATTTACTTACTCAGGAGTGGCTCCGCCAAAGAAGAATCGCAACTGAACTCATTCTTCACAAGAGTCTCACGATAAAGACCATTAAAGAGAAACACAGGACCATTTGCAATTTGATCATGCGTACAACTGAACAAAGCCTACACAAACAAAGCTTACCAGATTCCGTAACACATCCCAGAAGTTCAATGACATGAGGATGAGGTTTCAGCGGCTTCATTGTTTCCAGTTCTTTCATTAAATCTCGCTTGTCAGACTCGGCAGCGTTGACGGGAAAGTTAAAAGCGAAGGGTGAACATTGCGTAACTGCAATAACATGCAAATTGCCAAAGCATTAAAACCTCGTTCTCAGTTTAGCTCGAAATTCCCGCTTACTCGGGCTAAACACCGTTTTCCCTTGGATTTGACCCCATTTTCATTTTTTATCAGCTAACTCCAACTCGGTTACCTCAAACTCTCTGTTAGCTCAAAAATCCGAGTTTTACATTTTCTCGACTCAAATTCACCCTAATTATTTGATCTTTAACTAAAAACTTAGGCCGATAAGAGTCAAAGTGTCAGAACATAGTTGATTAACATGTTCCAATCTTAAATCGCGATTGATACGAACGTGATTACATTTAGCTGAACTTACTAAACTAAACGTACCCATCAAAGAGCTCAGATAAAACCAACTTAATGTACGAATATGATTGCTGGTTGTGCAAGAATGGCAAATATGATCCTTTCTGGTTTTAACAGAATGACTGACATTCAACACCAATCTAAATAACTCGGACCCCAACTAACTCAAAACATTTTTAAAGGAGGCTTTGTTCCATTTTCCGAATGAGTGTCTAAGGCGCAATTTGATCTAAGATCACTGTTCTCAAATCAGACCAAGATCTTACATTTAAGCATTTTGATAGCCACTGTAATCGCTTCAGGCCTTCCCAGAAGTTCGACCACTGTTCCTTTAGTAACCTGACCAAAAGCACCTTTACCAATGACTTTTTCTATGGTCACGTGATCTCTTGGAACTTCCCAGGAGATTGTTAATGGATTAAGAGGCGCGTAATCAGCACCTGCAGCGGCACTGTGTGCTTTTCTGTTATCTCTGCCAGCCTCTCTGAGATTCATGTATTCTGCAGGAGGCTGAGTGAGGTTGCCTGAATCAGGTAGACTTGATTGAAGATCTTTTAATTCCATTTCATTCTGGGAAACATATGTACCCGCTCAATTATTTATAAATAAACCTGTCTTGAATAGCAGGTCGCTATAGGCGATGAAAAACAGTTCGTGCGCTTTCATCAGACTCTTCTTTGTTCTTCTGAATCTATTCTAACGATAATTAAAAGAATGCTCTTTGTTACTGGAATTAGTTATGCCCAAGAAACTGATAAAGATTATCAGCATATTCGCTAAAACTTTGTGCTGTAACTTCAAGCTGCAATTTCTTGACTTTTTTGAAAAAAACTATGAGAAAACGCTTTTGCAAAATAACAAGATCCAGACCAACAGCAACCCCTTTCGTTAATTTTTGAAGTGCAACAGAGCATTTTAAGTCGAAACAATAGACGACAAATCTTATCCAAGTTAACTCCCTATTCTGTAAAACGACCTCCGTAGCCACAGTTTATCTGCCATCTGTTTATCGCGCGCACTTGGTGAATCTCTTCTCCCTTCTGTTATTTATCAAAAGCATCTTTTTCATCTTAAAGAGGGCACAAATGAACTGAGATAGCAATTTCTTCAAATAGCGACCTAATGTCATTGTATTACCTTGCCACTTACGTCATAAACACTTCTTTCATCTTCGTGCGTCCTATAGTTAAGAGAATATTTGAACAATTTATATTGAGTAATTGCGTTAGTCTTGAATTCTGCAAGGTTCGTATTTGACATGATGGTATCGTGTTTAGAATCATACTAACAATTTACAAGTTTATCCCGTCTCCAGACATTCCAAATTAGAGTAAATTTTTACCTCTGCCTCCCAACAACACCTGGAATGAAAATTAAAGAAAAGAAATTACAAGGAAGGGAACCAAAATTTCATATACTGTGTTTAAGGTGGAGGTAATATCAACCCACCCCTAAGCACAAATAATGAATGATCCCTTACCTTTCCTGTGTTGCCAGATTAGGTAAATTATTAGAAGAAGAATTATGAAGACAAGAACTCCAATTATGGCCTTTAACAAGACGTCGTTACATGGGCAGTTACATTCCTCGGGACCTAAAATGATCGGTTTTATAAAGCTTAACAAAGTAACATTCAAACAGGGTTTTCATAGTTATACTAGTTGGTGTGCCTTTTTATAATAATGTAAAAGGAAAGTGTGTGATATATTTCAAATTATATTCCAATGATTAAAGAATAAACTGTTCAAGAAATAGTTACTTTAAAAATTTTCAGAAAACGTGAAGTATAATTTTTGATGTTTCAGGACGATCTGATGTCAGTCTACCACTGAAAGGAATTGAACCCCGAAAATTTTTAAACGATACGACTAAACGAAACACAGTCAAACCTGTATTTAGCGGTCATCCACAGAGAATGGCAGGGAGATCGCTTGATACAAGATGACCGCTTAACAAAAGGTCCTCGGAATAAGTTTGGCGCCTCTTTTTTATCCGTTTGTTTATGATTGGCTTAGATTGTACATTTACTGAACTCCTGGTTAAGTTTTAAAAATCAATTTAATATGATGGAAAGGGCTTCGCCTAAATCTAGCTAGCCCAACAACCTTACTTAACACTTTCAGCATAAAGCAGTAGGAGTTTTGCTTATTTCTAATCAGGTGCAAAGACGTTCAGTTATTTTATTTGATTAAATTACATGTATCGGAGAAGCACTTTATATTTCTGGAACAAAGCTAACTACATTTTAGAACTTTGAAAATCTAGTTGAGTAACTATTGAGGTATTGAATATGATTTTGGCTCCTACCTGGCACAGTGGCTGAAGAAACTTGTTTGATCGAGGCTGGGTCAACTCTAAAGACCCCGAATTTGTTCTGTTCTGCAGCATTCTTCAGAGAAGTCAACACTGCGCTAATGGCCACAATTTCGTTAAAGTACATTATGAAGTTGACAATAACACTTCCACACCTACGAATTGAAGAGTAATAACAAGACATTTGATTGAACTAAGAATATAACAGAAATTATAATTCAGCTGAACACCCGCCATGGTAAGAGGACATGATAGATCGAAAACTACATTTATCTATAAAAAGCAAGTTGAGTTCAAGTCTGAACACTTTCATTGATGAGCAATATCGTTGTATTATGAAGTTATGATGTTATTCAATACGATTGAGTGCTTAACTAAACTGACTCTCTTTACACATATCTATATATCTTTAGGAATGCATTTGAACCGACTTCATTAAAGAATACAGTATACTCGGACATAGTGCATTCTAAACTAATAAAATGTATTCTTTGTGCAAATCGTTCAAGTTTTAAACAAGACAGGTTTTAGGGGCTTTCAGTTTCCTTTCCCTGCCTCACACACAACCTCACTGTGCGATTCAAAGGAAGATTTATGCTTTATAATACCCGCTGTCTACGGTAAGGGCAGCAAAACAGCCGTGATTGACAACCAATTCACATGCCTAAAAAGTACAAAACAGTTAGTATAAAACAGGAAGTCTATTACATTCATGCAGTTAAGATATGGAGCCGCACTGCCGTTCATTTATTAATTAATTCATTCATTCATCCATTTATCTCATTTACTCATTCGTTTATCAATCCATCCATTCATATGTCCTTCCCTCTGTCTATCCCTCTAATCGGCCATCCTCCGACTTACGTTTTCATATATTCACATATTCAATCAATCAATTCATTTATATTTGTACTTATTGGTTTTTTTCCAATTCCTGTATTTATTGATTTCTTCACTCATCACCTCATTTTAGTATCATCAAACCCAAACATTCGATGGACTTAATAAACATCTCACCACATTTGGAAATTTGGCTCCAACAAATAAACGTCTGCTACAATTCTCATTTATGGTCGCTGTTAAGTAAACTTCTCTGTTTCCTGAAACTTAACAGAGCACCAGATAAAAGGTTCTTTCTTTATTTATGATAACAGAAAACGCAAATGTAGAAGAACTTGCAGCGAGACAAACCGCTGTTGACATACTATCATAGCAGAAATGAATAAGTTCTACGAATGGCTTCGCTTATCATCCCGTTCTTTGGTCTGGCGATGTTTATACAACCTAAACTTCGAAAAATTTTTCGTGGAATTCTTTAATGGTGATTACGCACTGGATGTCAATAAGGTTAAACCAAAGTAAACGTTATTCTTGCGACACGTGTCTCTATAATCTATGAAATACATTAGCATTGTAATTGTTTAGACCTTTCACTGTAGAACATGAGAACAACGAGTTTAGAGGAGGGCGAATTTCAAAACAATAAATTCGAGTTACAGCTCGAGAAAAAAGAGGGCTTTGATCGACGAGAGAGCGAGAGTTTGTGGTTTTGAATGTCGATTACGTCTCCGAGAAGGGTTTAAAGTGAAAGTAATATGCTATTTTTAGTTTAGCGAATTTGTAGCGAGCCGGCACAATGAATCGAGTACTGTGCATTCTTAGCCGATAACAGGGGGCAAATATAAGACTGAAATACCGTGAAACGAATATACCGCGGCCGGCGTTTCATAGGGTCCGGTGTTTGATCGAGAAAATACGGTATAGTGAAATATGTTGTCTCTCTCGTCTAATCAGCTACTATCTGCAAGCTGTAAATTGATAGGCTGATGAAGTCCTTGCCCAATTTAAATATGGGAAAGTATTTTGAGCCAGTGAGTAAATTTTTAGAAGTGATATTTTATATATCATGCGCTAACAGTTGAAATTTTCAGGTTTACCCACTACCTTGACTCAGTGCCTTCTTGTTTGCACAAAACAGTGTCACATTCTCTATGTTAATCAACCAGTCAGTGATATCTCAGTTATCGATCTATGTTTTGAGGGGAAAAAACTCACGCACCTACACCTACGCACACATGCAAAGGTTATAAAAAATTCTATGTTGGTGAGAAAGAGGTATTAAAAAATTAAGGAAAAGAAAGTATTACAATCGTTGACGGGAAAATAAGATTCATTTAAACATACTTCCTACCGCCTTGACTTGCGGGATGTTTCTTTCATCTGGTATTAGGCTTTCACCGACACCATTAGTCGCAGTTACAGCAAATTGATACACTTTTCCTCTTTGCAACTTTACTTTAAATTCTCTGACTTCGGCATCTGAGATTTCCATTATTATTGTCCATTTTCCTGGTTTCCCACCAAACATTGTTCTCTGGTAAAGTGTATTACGTTATTTTCTTTCCATTGTCTTTTGGCTCAATCCACCTCAGAGTAATTGTATTTTCTGTTGTTTCACTTGGCAGGCCATATATTTTCACTGTTGCCGGGATCCCTTTATAAACCACAATAGCACTAACAGTTAAAGTTATGTTTTTGAATTAATCAACAATCTGTTGTAAATCCTGCCACTGACATTGACATGTCTATTGGGTTTTTTGAGTATTGATTCGTCAATGACCCAGTGTTCATTAAAACATTGAAAGTTTTCTATGTGAAGATGAAACAAACAAAAATTTAATGTATAATCGGAAAAAGATCCAAGTCCCAGATGGGATTTGAACCCACGACCCTTCGTGATTGACCGCATCTCGATATGCTTTAATGTGACAGCGTGATGCTGTAAGTGAATTTCACATGCGCTGCCCACCCTTGCGAAATGGTTTCCTAGCTTTCTAGGATTCCTAGGAATTTCCTAGGAATTTCTTAGGAGTCAGTGGAATTTTCCTAAAAACATTTAAGCTCTCTAGAGGTGTGAACAAACATTACTAGGTTCCTAAGAATTTCCTAGGAAATTCCTAGGAATGATTACAGGTAGAATTTACATAAAAAAATAGATTCTTGATCCTTGGGAAATTCTTAGGAAGTTACTAGGAAAAATTATTTTTTAAAATAAAACCTTAATATTTAAGAATTATACTTGTGAGTTTAGCTTTTGAAAGAAAAGTGCCATTTTAGATGTTTCAAAAAGTCACTACTTGCAATATACCACAAATTTTTTTTATTTTGCATTATAATTTACAACTCATTAATTTTAAAGCAGATATTCTTGAAGTTTATACAATTTCCAATAAAACATTAATTTTTTATCCTTCAATTGCATATCACAATACATTGAAATAAAAATTTACTGTAGTAAAGAATACAAGCAGAAAACTAAATCAAATGCAATTCAAGTGGGATTTCAATCCATGTGTTTGGTGCTCCAGTCAGATAATAAAAAATGCTATACTGCAAGGACAGCGACTCTGACCACACTGAAATACAAAGTTATATCAGCCTGAGGCATCCCTGAAAAATGGTTTATCACAATGTGTAAGATTCAGCCAACATAATTTTGCACTGTCTCCTGATTTATTCCAATTATATGGTGAATTCTACATACTTTCCATTTAAAGTAAACTTAAGTTCAATATAGATAGTATCAAGTATCAATTTATTTGCCAGATTAGAATATTTTATACAAAAAGCTTAAGAACATATCTTTACTTAAATATTATAACAAGGAAGTCTTATTTGAAGCGATGGGAAATTTCAAATCTGGCATATTGAGACTTAAAAAGTGATATTTTCTTATATCTAACCACAGACAGCATTAAAGTTTGGAAATCTTATTATAACATGGTTTCTGGAATTGCCATTTAGAAGCATAATCTTCTCCAAAATTTCAGTGACACTCTTTGCTTTCAGGTCAGACCTAAAACATTGAGAATAAGAAATATCAATGCGATGCTTCTTTTCAAAAAGTGCTAGAGGAATAAAAGAATAGTTGTAGGTTCAGAAGGAACAGTTGAGGAAGAGAGGATTTTGAAACTAATTTCTTAAGCTTAATTGCCATTTTTATAAAAGAATTGCTTATCAATTCTATAGTTTTTTTCGTACTGGTTTTGAAACTTACAAGCATCATTGAAGCTTGAAGTGCATTGAGACATTGTGAAATGCGCTATATAAGCTTAAGCATTACATTACATTTTCTTACCCGGTCCAACGTAACGATGCACAGAGCGCATGTGATTTTCCATTGTCTGTTGTCGTGAGAGAACACGTTTACAAGCCGTACATTCATACTTCTCTTGGCCGTTAAGTTTGACTAATTTGTAAATTTGATGTTCATTCCCATCCATGGTTCATACTAGCAGGCGTTAACACTAACTTTAAAAGTCATTTATCGCTACTTCGATCACCGTTCATAAGATGGCGACCATGGCGCTGAATGGATCACACGATCACTAGTCCCAGTCTTTCATGAGCAAAATCTTCACATGACCGACACATGACCAAGTATAATCCAATAAGGTGAAGTTTCCAGGCTTGCCGCTCAATTCAACGTTCTATTCCGCTCTACAACGTCCTTTACTCGAAAGTTTTGTGCGTTGCAGCTGAGTCTTGCTGTGTTCTTCTCTGATCTAAACGTTTTAAAGCGTTCGCAGCGTTATGTGGGTTCTGGTCGAATGGATCGAAGAAGGTCATAGCATAAGCGTCTTAAAAGACAAAGACATAATACGTTATGGAAAAGAAATCGCAACACGAATAGAATAATGTCGTGGAATTGTCGCCATACGAAGTAAAAGAGGGCACTCAGATTTTCAAGGCGAAAGTTATTTCTGTTCATAGTAAGTATTACACTTTTATTTGGTTAATCGTTGTCATATGTATCATTTCTACTTCTATCGATTGATTGCAGAACATATGAATAAATATGTAAGAATTTTAAGCTTAGCTTTAAAAGTAGCTTTTCTAAGTTTCATTAGTTTAAACTGAATATAATGGTAATANCGGCGCAGTCAGCGGTCTGGCATGCACCTGTATTCCTTTTGTTCTTGGTCCACGGGGCGTTGTTCAGTTTTGTTAGTGTTTTAGTCAGTGTTTTTCTGAGCGTTAGCATTTTTCCCTGTTTTTCTCCTTCTGTGTGGGGGCTCATGGCTGGGTCGCCTGGATTTGCCATCCATGGGAGCAGTCTTCATCTAGGAGCTGGCTGCCAATAGTGGAAGCTCCTGGATGTCTCAGGCACCCTACCTCCACTTTGTGGGGCAGTTGTTAAAGTGTCTATATTCTATTTTTCCTATTTTCCTAAGAAATTCCTAGGAGTTTCCTAGGAATTTCCTTGGGGACCTAATCTTGGTCAGACAAAAGTGAAATGTGTATCCTAAGAAATTCCTAGGAATTTCCTAGGATTTTTTTCGAATTTTAATTTTTTCACTCCTAGGAATTTCCTAGGAAATTTCTAGGAATTCTTTGAATTCTTCGTCCCAATTTACTGTGAAATTTCACACCTTATTCCTAGGAATTTCCTAGGAATATTCTTAGGAAATTCCTAGGAAAATCTTAGGATTTCCTAGGAATTTCCTAGATCTTTTCGCAAGGGCAATACTTGACTGTGTAGCCGCGCGATGCGGTTTCAGTCCAGACCCACAAATTGACCCTTGCTCACCATAGAGTCTCCAGTAGCTCAGTGGTTAGAGCATCCAACCAGGTCACGGAGGGTCGTCGGTTCAAATCCCATCTGGAACTTAAATTAAAAAGTTTTCTATGTAGGTGTTTCATCAATTTTTGGAAGTATTAATTTTTCTCATATTTGAATGGCAACAAGAGGATGACAATTGTTAATAACTTAGAAGTTTACCTATCACTATAACTCTCTTCATCTTTGATGCATCTTGTTTTAGGCCTTCACCCAATACATTAGTAGCAGTAATAGCGAATTCATACGCTTCTCCTTTCTTCAGATTTACTTCTAATTGTCTGTCTTTAACATCCGCGATTTTCCCTATTTCTTTCCAGTCTCCCACCTTCCCATCAGTCACTCTCCTTTGGTACACGGTGTATTGGGAGATAACTTTTCCATTATTTCCTGCCTCCTCCCACGTTAGGGTAATTGTATCCGCTATTGTTAAACTGGGGAGATCGTTTATTTTCACTATCTCCGGAGGCCATGGATCAGTCATAAAAACAAAGAAAGTCACAATTCTACTTTAATTATTCCCCTGCTTACTGAAACTCTTCATATAAATATTGCATGAGACAACTGATAATCTGCAACTTGATCAGTCAGTGTTGTCTTAATTCAAGGAAATCTCGGCCTCGTCAGAGACCTGCAAAGTATCAAGTCTTGTAATCACTGGTGTATTTTTTAAATTCATGGTTAGTAACACAAGAGTCCGTAGAATGAGATCAGCTTTGGGTGACAAGCCAAATTAATTTCATTATTTGCGAAGGGAAATAAATGGAGAGGATAAAAAGCCATATACACTCTTCTAACGATATCAATTTACATGATATGCTGAATTCTACTCGTAGTTTGATTGGTTCTCAAATATGTCCTATAGGAGGGATGATGTAACGATGACGTTGTCATTCGATAATTCATTTGTTCCTTGATTAAATAATACAACACTGTTCGTATCCAACTTTTCTTTTTACCAAGAATCTGATATGCCATCTGTGATCTAGTAATGCACAGACGCATCCCAAAATGGAATGTGTGTTTTCAAATTGATGCAAGACGCAGTAGGAGTATTATTTCTTTTTGGCCTTACCAAGAATCGATTGCAAATGGTAAGTAGGCAAAAGCTTTGATTCGCAAACCTATAGCGATATAGAAAGTAAGGAATGCCGCGTGAGATGAACCACGGAACGTTTAGTAAAGGTTAATTCAGGATACGAGGGCATTTAATAGCGACATTCCCATAGCTACGGAGTTCAATTCTAAAGATTTTTACGCTGACTAGAGATGTTTTAGTTATATCGGCTGAGATGGGATGGATTCGAACCTAAAGGAATAAGTTGCAGCGCAGATAAATCATTTTTTACTCTACATCTTAGTGGATTTATAAGAAAATATGAGACGATTAAAATCTGAGATAGCTATTCATAACATCAACTATAAAACGAAAGTACACCTATTATTTAGAATAAGAGGTGACACTCTTGTCGTATCCATAATAACAGGTTTCCTAGTTAGAGAAAAAAAGAATGGTTTAAGTGCTGAGTTGCCCTACAACATGAGCATTATGGAATAGGCATTCCTCACCTGCAAAGTTTGTCTTCAATGTGTTTAAAGCAGCTTCTCCCTCAAATACAGCATTTCTGGCAAAAACTTTCACCGTGTAGTTTGTATCTCTCTCCAGATCAGTAAAAGTGTGATTTGTTTCAGGAAGAACAGTTAAAATAACACTGTCTTTCTTAGTGTCACCCTTCAGTATGATTACTCTGTATGCTATGATAGGACTCCCTCCATCATCAGCTGGTGCATTCCATCTCACTGTTATGGAACTGGCTTGAACGTCTGCTTTTGTGGATATAATGGTTGCCTGGCCGGGTTTCTCTGCATAGAAAGAAGACAATAATATTTCTGTCGAATAAAAACGAAGCCGACATCTTACTCCTGTTCGCTTCTATTGATGACATCCTTGACCTTATGAAAGACAACGTATACTGAACTTGTTTTCCCTTTATTTAAAAATATTTAGTGATATATTTCATGTGTTCCAAAGGTTACGGGGTAAAGGATGTATGAAAGATGTTCTTAGGTTACTGTAGGTAGTGTTCTAGAGTTTCATCAATCCATGCCAACGAATGCGTATTACAAAAGGAAAGCTGGCAATAGAGCCTTTATCGGTCTGAAGAATAAAGAGTACAAGTGACTGAAACGAAAAATCACTAGTTTCCTCTTATTATCTAAAGTATAGCTCAATAATTTGTTGTTCGTGGATATGTAAAGAATGGGAACGAATATTGTAGGCATTCAATATGCAAATTTCGTTAGCACGGCCTTAGAAGTCTTGGGAGAGCATGCATCCCATCAAACAGGGCAGATCCGTTAGGGAGGGCTTTTAATAAGTGGGAATGACGGCCAATTTAGTGCCTGACATGTACCGTGGAATAGCCCGTTTCTTAGAATTTGACCTACTAACGATTCCATCCTAAGAACCTACTCATTTTTAGGGGGTCAAGAGTTATATTAATACGGTATTTTCTGTCTGGACTACAACCTAGCCATGCGCATTTGGTCATCCTTTGCCCGGCCAGGTAAGCGGTGTAACTTTAATTCAGGATGATGTCTAGAATCCCCGTTACACAAGGGAACACAACAATGGTACGAAGATTTCTTCTTCGGG